CCTAGAGTTGACGCAAACTAAAGCCAATTTCAATTTTAAAATGAATTTGGAAGGCTTAGGGTTAGGGTCTGCTTGCCTGAGCTCGAAGAAAATAAAAGATGAAAGTTCTTCCCTTAGCCTTTCATACATGATCTCTCCTCACGCTCAGTTGATCTCATTCTTGTGCCGTAGAAGTAGAATCAAACCCCACTTTGCACTTGACGTTACATGTAGCCCGCTCATGCTCAAGTCGCCTTCTCTCGCATGCACTTATGTACTCTCTCTCTCACGCACTTATGTACTCTCTCTCTCACGATCTCGGTTGCAATTTCTCAATCTTCACCACTAATGATCGTAGAGCCGTCACCTCACTCCTCACTCTCTTCATCTCTTGTTCTTATTTTTGGTGGTAGCTCTTGAGCCTTAGCGACCTTCCTTTTTATATATTATGATATGAAAACATTATGCTGAGAATGGAAATATCTCCTTGATGTAAATTCACTTAATCACACAATTGCATTCAAAATAATTATATTATATAGTTATCATTCCTTCATTTAAAGTAAATTATCATCAATGAAATTGATTTACAAGTGACACCCCAACTAACCCTTTTGGTAGGCTCAACCGTGGTGTGATAGAGACTGTCAATTTGTTTATACCAACTCTCACCAGTACTCGACCTGACTTTTATAATCAAGACCCAGTGGGTGATGAATTTTTCTAAGTAGATTGACGCAACATACGTGATACATTACATTTTATAATTATTCATATACATAATTGGAAGCATGAAAATCACCCAAAAATATGAAAATTATATAGAGTTGCTAAATCCAATATATAATAGAAGTTCGTACCCAAAATATATGTACAAGTAGGAGTGTAAACGAGCAGAGCTTGAGCGAGCCCAGACTCGGTTCGCGTTTGGCTCGATAAAAAATATCACTATTCATATTCGGCTCGTCTATATGTTGAGCTCAAAAAATTTGTTCGTATTCGTCTCGTTTGCTTAACGAGCCGAACACGAGTTGCTCACGAACAATAAGCAGCTTTGATAACCCCAGACATGTAGCCTTAAGATGTTAAGGGTAAGGGCGATATTCAAATCTTATTATTTATATTAAAATATCCATTTAAATAAATTTTAATATATATTTTTCTGTTTTCTTATTGATAATTTTAATTGATTATAAATCTTTGCAGTGTTGTAGTCAATTAAATTATTTAAAAATAATACTCGTTATATATATATATATATATATATATGCCTGGCATCCTGGAACTAAAAAAAAACAAATTTATAATGAGGATAAAGCCTGTCGTCACTTGGTTTGAAATACGTACTGAAAGCAAAAGGGGCGACACACACACACAAACACACACACACACATGTAATTTAATTATTTTGAGCCATGAACAAACAAAACCATGTTTGTGTTCAGCTCGTTTATTATCGAGTGCCAAAAAAATGTTTGTGTTTGGCTTTTTTGCTTAGCAAACAAATCAAACACTAGCTGTTTGCAAACGAGTCGTTTTGACAGCACTATGTACAAGCTCCCAAAACTATCGTGCAAAAGCTGTATAAAGACACACTTGGTGACTCGCCTTAATGCTTATTTTCCTTACCTATAAGGCAACAATGAAGAATGAACAACAACAAGCTCAGAGAAATAATCAGGGCTAACAAAAGGTTTAATATATAGAAAAAAAACAATGTGCATGCTTGTATGAAATTGTACATGTTTACACACAAGTTATAACATGCTAGCATAGTTGAGAGTATGATCTACACACTAGTCATAACATGCTAGCATAGTAGAAAATATGAAAAGAAAGAAATTAATATAAAAATCAAAGTTGTAGCGTAATATGTAGGTCATAAAGATGAAATCATAAGTATAATAAAAAAATATGTTTATAAGCATGTCATAGGCTCTTTATCGTATATAATCATAACAATGTCATTTTATAGAAGTCATTTCATAGTAATGTCATTTATTTAATGTTTAGGGCTTAACTATTTTCATGTCCTTTCTTATCATGAGTTGTTACCTTGTCCAAAAGTTATGTAAACTATCGATAAAGGTTGCGTTTCCTCTAACATAACTGTTATTAATAGCCATCCTGATACCAACGGTCCCTTGACATTTTGTCACCGCCTAATTCTGACTGTTCCCAGAGTTTCTTTCCTGCTTAAATTTCTGGAGTCAGGAATACTACATCTCTGCATAGTGTACTTACAAACACTCATGTAATAGTCTACCCATAATATTTCTTGTGAAATTTAAATCATCATTTCTGTATCAAGCATAGAGGTGTAAACGAGCCTAGGCTCAGCTCATGTTTGGCTCGTTTATATTTCGAGCTAAAAAAGTGTGTTCGTGTTCGGCTCCCTTTTTTTGCGAGCGGGAATCGAGCCGGTTTTGAAACAAAGAGTCATTTTGACAACTCTAATCACGTAGCCATCAGATGTTAAGGATTGGGGCAATATTTAAAACACGTTTGAATATAATTTAATAATTTTATTCTATTTTATTAATTAATACTTTTAATTGATTATAAATCTTTGTAGCCTTGTAGTCAATTAAATTAAAAAAAAAAACTACTCATCAAAGATATATATATATAATTGATTAGTAGTATTTCGAGCCAAAACGAGCCGAACACGAACGAACAAATATTTGTTCATGTTGTTTGTATTCGACTCGTTAACTTAACGAACGAGCCAAACACGAGCTGTTCGCGAACAACGAGCCATTTTGATAGCCCTAATCAAGCATGTATCAGACATTACATGTATCATAGATATTAATCATAATAAATAAATGCCCACAGACAATGATTTCATAGGCTTAATCACCTATATCATAGCATCACATGTAACGTTAAAGAAGTCAACATGCATTCATACATTCACTTGCATGTATTCATCCATAATATGTAAGAATTTCTAACTGCATTAGTATCAAATGTGAAATCTCATGAAAACCTATATAATATTTTTCTTAAATTAGCACAAGATTATTTCATTTGACATGACGGAGTAACTTTACAACGAGTTCTCACATGCTCGTTTCGAGCTTATCACCTCATATAGACAATCTGAGAATTCATAATCATCGTAGGAAGCATGAGACTTGGATCATTCATAATTTAACCCAAAACATGACTTTTTTGTCAAAACATGCCTCAAACAAACTTCTTGGCGTAATAAAACCATTTGCCGATCCAACCTATACTTCTTCACTCTTCCTCCTATCTTTTGCCCCACCAATTGAATACTAATTTGAATATAAGTTTACACATTGTATTCATATAGATATATAAGCCTTTAAAGACAGTCTTAATGCTTCAATATTTTTTTTCTTCCATCATCCTCACTCATGTTTTCTAATACATCTGGTGAGAGTTACGACAATTAAAATGCAAAGAAATGGATTGTGATTTATATTATGCTAATTTATATTAATAATATTATAAGTTAGTTTCAATAGAATTTCCTATTTATCTCAACTTCCAGCATTTCTTCTTTCCTTGAAACTCCCAATTGCAGTTACGGGATGGAAATGAGGAAAAATGGTGTGTAAATATGTATGCATTTAGGTTATTGTATATAAGTAATTAGATAAAAAAATATATAAAACAATAATAATCCATCGTAGCCATCCATTTTTCCATCCATCGTTGCATGTACTGATTTGCTACAGTGCTGTGAGATATTAATCAGTAATTACTTAATTAATTAGTGATTAATCAAGTAATATTTTATTGATTTTTTTATTTTTATAAAATAAAATATATAGCTTTTATTTTATATTTTATATTTTATTTTATTTTATTTTTAAAATAAATAATATCATGTAAACTTTTATAAAAATAATTTGGTTGAATTGTGAGGAGTGCAAAATTTGATGGGCTTTTTCGAATTTTACATGGTTCTCAAATTTTGGGCATTATACTATATATTAGTCGGAACATTAACTTGAATTACCTGTTATTTTTTTGAGGTATTTGTTTGATATGAGGTTTCTCAATTACCCTTATATGTATTTTTAACAACTAAGAATTCAGATTAGTTGGGCTGATTTATTAATCCAGCTTAATCAGCCTAATTGAGAATGCTTTATTAGTTATTATTTATTTTAATAATTGCCTTGGTATTACATAGCTATCAAGTACTAGTCATCTACAAGTATCATTTTTCATTCTACTTTATTTTGATTATTAGCTGTAACCATCTTTAAGAAAAACAAAAGACGGCTAATGGTGATCCTTTATGTACCTTTACCATAGTTTGGATCTCATCGGTAATTTATTAACTACCTGTATTACCGTTTGTTTCTCCACTGCATATTTCAATAATTCTGATACATCTTTATATATTTTACCCTCTATACCCAAAAACTATCCTTGTGGTGTGAAATCCTATGTTAATGAAAGTAAAAATGATAAGAAATCGATGAAAATGAGAGGAAGACAAATAATATATTTTGACATCCAATTGACTGAAGATATGCTACGATATATTTTCCAAACAAGCTTTGGCGTGAAATCTTAAGTTATCATACATCTGTTATTTTTATTACTCTTTGATGTTTTGCCAAAAGTCACAAAGTGTCCTGTTTAGTTTTTAGAGGATCTTCATTTGCATTGGCTTACTGAATATTGAAAGTGGAAACTACAGTGCATATGGCATTGCCATTTAAGTTTAACAAAACATGCTCAAGCTCTTGAACTTTGTTTTATCGAATAGTGAGGACTCATAAACTGTGTAGGACATTGTTATTATATATCATAGAAACGTAGGGCATCAAATATTATGCCCGGCTTTTCTAGTAATCTGTGGTCCGATGAATCTATGAAAAAAAAGCTTCTTAGGCTTGGATTTGCTTGGATATTATTCTTCTATCAGTGAACAGACAGTTCTACCTTTTTTGATGGAACTTTTTTGAAACTAATTGAGTTCAATGATACGCATTGTGCAAAACATTGACCTTCAATCATATTGTGTTTTTCAGGCGGATGAGCTAAGAGTAAAATTTGATGCAAATAAGCATGTGGTATGTTCTCCTTTGCACTTATATTGCATCCATTACATGCTCTGTTTGAACCACCAAATTTGAGGGTGTAGAAATATGCATTCAAATTTATTTATCGCAAAAGTACATTCCATCTTTTCCGATTGACTGAAGATATGCATTCACATTCCATCTTTTCCACATTGAAGGTTGTTAGTGTCAGTTTCTGTATTATTGTAGTTCCATTTACATTTCCTTAAACATAATCTCTTATCAAATTTATGTGGTAGTCTGGCTATTCCATTTTCATTTTCATAATAAACCACTTTCAAAGCAACTGGATAGACGTATGTTTTGGTTCTCTAATTATCATCTGATTTGAATTTTTCACACAAAGGAAATTTCTGCTATCAATTATTATGGCGGAGGCTTATTATAGGCCGTCAGCAGTTAAAAGGCACTAATTATAACACTTTCTAGACTGATCCAGGTGACACTACAATAGCATCGTCTTATTGTTTTCAAGTTTTTTGTTCAAACAAGGAAGTCCTTTTTCGAGCAGAAGTGAGATCCATAAAATGTCTTATTGTTAATGATTTCTTTCAGTTTTTATTATTATAGAGTTTTATGAGCATGTGCCGCCCTTTTTTTGAAGCTAGCAACCTCAAATATTTGATCTATATTGGTATAAGTTGGCCCAATTTTAGGATAGTAAATGATATAAGTTGCTTAAATTTGTACCGTTGCCTTTGGGTCTGCATGATTCATGGCTTAGTTTTTTTGGGTCATTGTTTTGAGGTGTACATTATTTGATTCCACAGTTAAAATGTAATAGTCGTTCCTCATTTGGCGGTAGAACTTGTAGGAAATATCAATTACAAAAGTTTCCTTATATATTTAATGGTATATTAACCAAAATGCAATATGTGCTCTGTTGTGCATCGCAATGGCTCTAGTTCTAGAGGTATTATGTCTTTGCATCAGATATTTAGAAATTAGTTGCCATAATATTCTCACTTTGACAATACTTTAATAACGACCTAGAATAGCCACATCATAAATCAGTTGGTGTAATTAGAATGCTGCAAATTATTGTCACAAAAAACTATTACCATATACTTCCTACTTGTTAAAAGATTGTCACACTCAAGCTGACCCTCTTAGGGTCAAATGGTGGTGCAATAGAGATCAACAACTCGGTTAGACACAATTTTCACCAACACTAGTTCTAACTTGCATAAATTGGGATTCAGTTGGTGGTGAATTAGTCTGGTAATCTTTGCCAACCTTAACAATTAGATTATATTCAATATTCATTTATAATCTCAACACAGGGAATCGTGCATAATAATTCTAAATGACACATACAATGATGCAATATTAAGCATATAAACGTACATATCCCAAAAGTCTTCATAACCTTTTCAAAATTTTACAACCCAACTGTTGTACAATGTCACACCTGGATAATCACCTTGGTTGCTTCTTACCCCTCCTTAAAAAAATAACAATATATTAAAGTGAGCTACAAGCTTAATGAAATAATCAGTGCTAAAATAAGATTTTATAGACAGGAAAAAAACAACATACATGCTAAACTATAGCTAATATGAGTGGTAACATTACATAATAAGCATGTTTTAATCACATGAAATATATATATATATATATATATATATATTAATAGTAGTTTTGGCTTCTCCTCCGTTCTCGTTTTCTTTTCTCGCCTCTTCGCTCTCTCGCCGGTTATGGTGAAGACGTGTGCAGGCGTCACTGCGGGGGTTTCCTCCTCCGGTACTCCTCCAAAGTTTGCCTTTCCCTCTTCTTCTCATGAATCACTAGTTCTTGGCGGGGAATACAATTTTATCAAGTCTCAGGGAAGAAAGGGGGGGAAGTGTGCATTTTTTCTCTCAGACTCTGAGAACTCCATTCTTGCCTCTCCATTCTTGCCTCTACCTGTCGTTTCCATCTTGTAGGTAAGTTTCTATATGGGCTTCGTAAATATGATTTCTTGCTGAAACATTTTGAACTTTTGTACCTGTCGTTTCCATCTTGTAGGTAAGTTCCTATATGGGCTTCCTAAATATGATTTCTTGTTAAAACATTTTGAACTTTTGAATTTATTGGGGGGGTTGGAAGATCGGTGCTCTTGGCAACAGGCATATTCTGATCCAATTCTCTAATGATGATGACTATGCTAAACTATTTGCACGCAGAAGTGTTAATTTTGGTGATGTTTGGATGAAAGTCCTCAAATGGACAACTGAGTTTGATCCTAGGATTGAACTACCTATTATTCCTGTCTGGCTTTGCCTTCCAGGCTTAAAGGTGCATTTATTCAATCATGAAATTTTGTTTTCTGTTGCTGCTATATATGGTAAGCTGTTAATGCTTGATGCCCCTATCTTCAATTTAACAAGACCTTCAATGGCTAGAATTTTAATAGATAGTGATGTTACTAGTGATGTTACCTTACCTCCTCACCTCCTCCGGAGTAAGTTTGGATTGGATCTAATCATACGGGATATTGGCAACCAATGTTTCTTGAGAAACATCCTCACAACTGCTCGCATTGCAGTATGTTTGACCATGATTCGACACACTGTTTTCACTTGCACCCTGAATTGCGGAAATCCACTTCCAATTGCGGAAATCCACTTCCGAATCCACTTCCGGTCATGTGGCGTCTGTTGAGCTGAAATCTGCTCTTCGAACTCTTCATTTTGAACCAGTTACTCAGTCCGCTGAAGTACCTTGCGTGGGCCCTGTTGATCAAATTACTCCCTGTTTGGAGGCAACCAATGCTGCTCATTCTGGTGAAGCAGCACACGTGGGCCCTGCACCCACAGAGAGAGTTGAAGAAATTGTGGATCTCATTGCCACACAAGAACCATAAATTGTGGCTCAGATCCCTAGTGCTTTAGCCGAACAATTTGAGGTTCAAGATCCCCCACAAGCAAATAATCAACATACTACTCCATTGGTTACTCCCCCATCGTCGGACCCATCTGCTATGGCTGCCATGGCTTTAGGATCTGAATGAACAATTCAAAAATATAGTAGGAGAAGAGGTAGAAGGAAATCAGAACTCCCAATTATGATACAAACAAACAGTATTGATGTCACATACCATTCAGAGGGTAAGCACTTGCATCTTCGCCCTAGGTTTACTAGGAGGGGGGGTGTCATGAGCCAAAATGTTTAACATTCTGGTATGGAACATTAGAGGTGTGGCGGACCCCCACTTCTTTAATCATTCAAAACATTTATGTAGGGTCCATAAGCCAGACATTTTTGTTCTTTTGGAGCCGTTTGTAACGGTTCATAAAGAGAATATCATTAAGAAATTCAAGTGTTACATGCATTATAGTAATCTGAACAATAAAATTTGGCTCTTTTGGCAGAAATATATCACTCTTAACATTATTGATGATAATGTGCAATATGTTCTTATTTATTATCAGTTGGAGAATTTTTTTGGTTGGGCTACTTTCATTTGTGCTAGCTCTTTTTTAAGGGGCAAAGTTCACCTTTGACAACAACTTACTCATATGGGTGCTACTATTTCTGATAATTGGTTCGTTGGAGGGGATCTAAATATGATTTTGTCACCGTCGGAGAGAATGGGTGGTGCTAAAGTTGATACAAGTCTTATCAACCGTTTTTGTGAGCATATTGCGGATGCTGACCTTTATGATTTAGGCTTTTCAGGCTCTCCTTATACTTGGCGGAGAAGTTTTCTTATGCAGAGACTGGAGAGATTTCTGGGAAACTCATCTTTTCTGGGCTACTACAATATTATTCTTGTCAAACATCTTAATCATGCTGCATCGGACCATAACCCTATTTTGCTTAGTTTGGCTTTTCATTCTAAACCTGCTCGTTATCACTTTAAATTTCTTAATGTTTGGACTTCTCATCCTATTTTTATTGATTTGATTAAGCAAACTTGGGTCTTGCGGTGGAGTGGTAACCCTTGGTTCATTTTGTGGCAATTACATAAGAACGTTGCTTCTTACTTAAAAAGGTGGAACATTGATACTTTTGACAATGTTCATTCTAGGGTTTCGAAGGCCCAACAGGAGGTCGATGCTTTAGAGGCACATGTGATAGACACTCCTGATCTTGTGGCCAAGTTAGCTAATGCTCATCATACTCTCTTGGAGGAAATCACTATTGAGGAGGATTTCTTTAGACAGAAAGCTTGTGACACTCATTTCAAAAACGAAGACAGAAACACTAAATATTTTCATGCTATTATCAAGCATCGTCGTAATATAAATGCCATTATTAAGGTTGTTATTGATGAGGGTAATGTACTTACTGATGCTGATCAAATTGGTTTCAATGCAGCTGATTATTTTTCTTCTCTTTATGCTGAGGCTCTCCCGATCACTGATATTCGATCGGAATTGTTTGAGGATCAGAGGGAGGGACATGGTTTCCTCCCTCTCTTTGTCCGACCCTCCCAATGAGTTAGAGATTTTCACTGCTCTTAAAGATATTAGTTCTCAGAAGGCTCCTGGCCCCGATGGTTTCACTTATGCTTTTTATTATTTCTGCTGGGACATCATAAAGAAAGAGGTGGTTCTCGCGATTCAAAGTTTTTTTCAGGTTGAAGACCCTGGAAAATATTTTTCTTTCGCATTGATTGTTCTTATCCCTAAAACTAATGATAAAACTCATTGGAAGGATTTTAGCCCCATCTCGCTCACTTCAGTGATTTCTAAAATCATCAGTAAACTGATTCAACCCCATCTTCAACCCCATCTTCCTTCTCTCATCTCCCCCCACCAGTCGGCCTTTATTAAAGGACGTAATATTCTGACAATATACTCTTAGCCTAAGAAATTTTACAGGATCTTGATAAAAAATGCAGGGGAGACAAGCTTGTTATCAAATTAGATATCAAGAAGGTCTTTGATACCATTAATTGGGATTTCATCATCAACGTTTTGAAGGCTAGAGCTTTCAATCCCAGTTTTTGCACCCTGATTAAAAGATGGTTGACCAACAATTATTATTCCATGCTGTTTAACGGT